CGCTGCTCTACCCAGTTCCCTGAGATCGGCTGCGAAATGTTTAGCAACTCGTCTGCCCAGGCTGCGTCAACCGTCAGCTTGAGCATCTTGGTCGTAATCGAGATGCTCAATGCCATGAACGCTTTGAGCAGCTCAGAGAGTCTGCTGACACTGCCGCTCTGGGAAAATATGATGCTCGTCTATGCCATCTGTTTGAGCATGGCCTTGCACTTTGCTCTCCTCTACATTCCGTTCTTGCAGGGACTCTTCAGTGTCATCCCGCTAGACGGCAACGAGTGGAAGGCGGTCATGGCCATTAGTGCGCCTATCATGTAAGCCATCCTCACAGTCTGTTAGAATCAACGAAAGAGCAAGGCTAACATGAAACCAGCATCATCGACGAAGGTCTCAAATTCCTCGAGCGCAAGTTCTTTATCCAAAAGGGTAACGAGAAGTTGGAGCTTGTCGAACAGCAAAACGGCCGGGCGAAGAAGGACTAGGTGTCTTCTTCCTCTTCTTCCTCTTCTTCTCCCTCTCACTCGCTGAGACGGGTCAGTGGACGGTCACATCTCCGCTCTGATCTGGTCAAGGAACGCGTAATATAGTCACTCTGCATATAGAAGCAAGAAATTGGGGAGTAGGTGTTTTAAGAGATAGCGAGGAAGGGATGTTTTGATACCTCTTGCATGAGACTAGGAGTTTTTGCTTCGTTCAATGACGAGTGGTAGACGTAGATGCGAACAGTATGAATAGAGCAACAGTCACGCCACAGCGAAGCGAGTATACGTGCCTTGTATGTTTATTGTGAGTATCGTACAAGAAAGATGTGCAATAGACAGGCATCATCGGTTCATGTCTGGACGACCGACAGTGCAGTCTTGCCGTGCTGAATATCTTCATCGGCTGGCGCATGAAAACCGTAAGTAACAGTCTGCAAAGCTCCTGCGAAGCCCAAGTAGCCTTCGACAGGCAAGCCCAACTCTTACCCCAGGATTCCCCCAACACGAAGACCTCATTAACTCTCCACTCGTCCTCCGACAATGCATGTTGCGTATAGCTCACACCCATCAATCACCGACTCGATCCATCAACCTCACGCTTCTCCTTAGCGCCCATCATACTTTGCAGTCAGCCTCCTGCCCTCCTTCTCCACGTCATCGACCTCGGGCTCCCAATCGACTGCCTTCTCGTGCACACCAAGGAACTCCCAGATACCCTGTCCCGCCTTGATCTTAGCCTGCTTACCCTTCTTGGCCGCCTTCTTCTCCGCAACCGTCTTACCCGTAGTCAAAAGGTGCATGTCAACCCTGAGCTTCAAGTATCCATTCCCTAGAAACATGATGTCTATGTTGTGTTTGCCGACAACTGTCTTGGCCTGGACAATGCGGAAAGATGCGTGAGGGGGAGCATGGAACGCGTGAGTGGCATACGGCGAGGAACGAGATGGAATACTGAGACTGGCACTATGGGCACCGAATGCGGCGCTCAGACCAATAATGGAGGAAACCCTGAGAGTGCGCTGGCCGAAACCGTGGTTGTCGATGTGGGTCTCGGTGTACATGGGGCAGTACAGCTTCCAGGATCCTTCAATCGCACCAAGAGGCATGGGGACACGGGTCAAGATGCTGTAGCGGAAGAAGGTAGATGCAGTCTCGGCGCGCTTGATGTCGGCGTTGGCCTTTTCCACTTGCAATGCGTTTGTGACGACCACCTTGAGCGCGGCAGTGTTGGTGTCATCGGAGCGTTGCAGTTGTAGCAGCTGTTCGCTCTTGGGGGAGCAGCCTGTCAACTGGGGTAGGCAAGGAAGGGGACCTGCTTCATTGCTGTCGTAGAGCCAGTCGTCATACTCTTCCATGTACTCGGCTTCCTCGGTGAAGTTGATGGTACGCCGGGAAGTGGTGAAGGCAGTAGTGAAAACGTCAAAGCTGGCTTCGGTGTGCTTCTCAACATGCTTCTTCTTCTTCTTGCTGAAGGAAGAGAGCTCCTCGTCGGGCCGAGTGTAAGGCTTGTTAGGGCGCAGATACATGTCCAGAACACTTTGGGTTGTGGAGGAAGAGGTGCTCGACGTGGTGCTGGTTGCTTCGCTGACGGCGCGACGACCTCGCGGGCGTGGTTTGGGGGCGTCGTTTAGGGGCTCTTTGAAGTTCATGAGGTTCGCAGAGGTGAAGCTCTCGATTTGGCTGTTAGTGAGTGGATTGACGGAGCCTTGGCTACCGACCACGTGCTTGTCGGCTTTGGCAAGTTTTGCGATAGTCATGAGAGGGATATCGGGAGACGATTCGTCGGCAGTAGGTGCTTCCTCGGTTTTCTTGGTTGTGGTCGCTGCTGACGACTGTGCCGGTGCAAGGCTGAAAGGAATCGCTGACACACGAGGAGTGGTTGCAGGAGTGCGGCTCATCTGCGAAAGAGGAGTCTCGGTGACAAGGACTTCAGACTGAGCGGAAGCGGCCTTGGTCGCCTTGGCCGATGACTTACTGACGCCGTCCTTCAGAGTATGGGGAGACTTCTGAGGAAGTGGAACCGGTGTCTTCTGAGGAAGCGGGACAGGTGTCTTTCGAGGAAGCGGGACGGCTGTCTTGTGAGGCAGCGGAACTGGAGTCTGCCTCGGACGAGAAGACAGAGCCGCTGCGACGGAGGGCGCTGGTACCGGGGTCTTGATGACGTTGGAACTCTTCTGCAAGTCAGAGGCAGCAGGCGCTTTCTCCAGTTTCTGCTTCTTAGCCTTGCTCTCGCCAGACTTGACGACCTTCTTCGCCGTCTTGTTAGACTCAACAATATCCTTCTTGTCCGAAGCCTTTGGCCGTCCGGGCTTCTTCTTGGGTGGCTCCGTAGGTACGGTAGCTGGCATAGCGACTGCGGCCTCGCTCTCTCGCTTGCGCTTCTTCGCAGCAGAAACTGGTGTGCCGTCGGGTCCAACCTCCCTCTTCTTGTACGGACCGCGTGGACCATATTTTCCATTCTTGAGAGGAGTCGCAGCAAGCTTGACAGTAGGTGTCGCATCGACTGGTGGAGTGTTTTGCTTCCCTTCTACCTTCTCGGGCTCCTTGGTAGCTTTAGCTTCTTTGGATAGCCTCTTAAGTCTCCTGGCTTCCTTCCTCTCGGCCTTCTCTTGCTTCTTCTTAGCTTTCTCTTCCTCGGCAACTTCATCCGTCGCACCATCGTTGGTTTTGATAGGTGCCGGCTCCTCGTCCTCTTTGAAGTCCATGCTGTTGTAAGACGGACGCTTCATTGAGGCGCCTTGACCAGTCAGGTGATGCTGCGGCATGCGGTAGAGACCGTTAGGCGGCATCGTTTCGATGGTTGTTGGTATGTGGCGGGTGGATTTTGTTCCAGAAATGTGTTTGTTGACGTGGTTTGCTGTTGTTGCCAGGTTGACTGGGCGCAAACAAAACACGATCGAGCCCGCAAGAGCGCGCGACGACGTGTAACTTTTCTAAATCCAGTTAGAGCGTGCGCGCAGAAGAATGGCTGGGGGATGACTACCTTGGCCCTCACGTTGCGGAGTAAGAGCTTGAACAATGTAGAAGGGTGCGAGAGACGAGGTTGACAAAATTGAGGGGAGGAAGTCGCGAGGGAGAAAAGTCAACAAGCGATCTGCCTGGACTCAAGGTGAAGGTGAAGACGAGAGCATGCACTCACCTTCACGGTGAGTGTCGAAGGATCCCAATGTAGCCCATGCCAAGACAGAGAAGTCAACGACGTTTTCCAATCACGTGGCTCAGTAGGATCTACTAGATAAAGCGTTTGATGTGTGTCATGGTGGAGGTGCGGGAATCAACAAATCTGCACCACCACTATCAGATCCCGCGGCTGCATGCATTGCAGGACATACGATGTTTATTCGGATGATGGAAACACGGGTATAATATAGCTATGCGTATTATTTCTGCGGAAGCCTGTTCCCTTCATTGGGTAGCTTGACGTCAGCTACTACTTAGCCCTTCCCCTGGCGGTGACAGATCTGGATTTCACCACGCCTTAGGCGCTTGAATAGGATTTAGACATTTGTTGATACGATTTAATTGTCGACAATAGTAGTGTTGGCAAAGGTGCGGTCGAGGCCGAAGCGTGAGGCACTGAATACATGGACATCGCTTGCCGGTCGTAAAGGGACCGTTACAGCGGGACATCTCAGCGGCGATGATGGTTCATTCATGCGAGTCAACATATTTCTTTGATACAGAGTTGGATGTATATCAGCGCCCCGTGTTCAGCCATCCCAAACGCACATGGTGTCTATAAACGTCTCCACTTCCTCAGCTATGACCGTTTCCAGATGCACCCGTCTGATGCATTTCGTAGATTTTTGTGTACTTCAGGTCATTGTATGAGGTATCGCGAATAAGTCAAAACGCTATTGAGAGAGACCCCATCTTCCAGGCCTCATGGCTTCATGTTTGATGGGTAGAGCGTCTTCACGAAAGGCATGTAAGCGTTGACGAGTGACGCCATTAGACGTTCCAGAGTATGCAGAGCCGTTCGCTCGAGTAGTCTGTCTTCCTAACAACTGCCAATCGGGTACTCATGAGTAGACACGTGGGGAAAGAAAGAACAAGGCTGGTATGAGAATATGTCTGGTGGTGTTGACTTCACGGATGGTATGTAAATGGTGTTGTGGCTATAGTGAGCCTCTTTAGCATTCCACATAGCATCTCTGCAAGTATACGGTAAGCAGAAAAGGCTCAATCTATGGATGTGTGGGGCTGTGATCCAACTTGGTCGACTTTCGGATGCTGCCCTCGGTAAGCGAGATCATGGTTGAGCTCAACAATGGAATGATTTGGCTCTGACCGTACTCGGTCGACGTGGAAATGATGATAAATCTGTAGCGAAGCATTCGTGACCACCAAACTAACCAAGTACTGCGCTCCTCGCTCTGGAACACAATCAGCATCTACAGACTGACACTGAGTTACCCTATAACTATATCTTCTCTTCCTCTGAAACCAAAATGTACTAAGTGATTACAAATTACTCCCCGTCTCTCGCTAGACTGGCCTCGTAAGCACACGCGCCAGACCTTAAAGACCCGGCGTATGCGCAACATTCCTGATATCCTTGGTTTCAATGCGACCTATAGCTGGATACATATCATGCCGATCAATGTAACTATTCACGGTCTTGACATTCTCCAGTTCATCTTTGCTCCCCTCACTCTTGGCCGTGTCCACCTGCACCAGCGCGTTCTTGTCCATATCGTCGTCGAACTCAGCTAGCCCGCTTCTTGCTGGGAAACTAGTCACTTCGCCGCCATTCTCCTGGATGGGCGGGATACCCGCCATATCTCCGTGATCTAGACTGAGCTTGCGGACGCGAGAGTCTAGATTTGAAGGCGGAGGCTGTGGTGTGCTGTCGCTGGGGATTGCGCTAAGGGACTTGGAGCGCACGGCTTGGAGGGTGTTGGAGTCTTCCGAGGTGCGATTTGGGGCCTCGCCTGCTGAGAGGGAGCGCTGGGGGTCAACGGTCGGCGTATGTGGAACGCTTTTCGAGCGCTGCTTGTCGTGTGCGGTTTTGCTGCTCTTGGACCACGACTTGAATTTGAAAGCCGAGAGCCAACCCGGGCGCTTTTCCTTGCCAGCGTTTGGATTCAGGGCACGTTCGGCAGCCAGCTGGATGTGGGATTTTGCTTCTGGCTTTGAGGGCTTGAGTCCGGCGACGTGGGCTGGCGAAGGAGCCGGAATGGAGCGGACATCGTAGTCTGACTTGCGGCGCGCGCCTGCTGCATCCACATTGGATTCTGAAAGACCCAGTACAGCACGGTTTCGAGCGAGATTGGATTCCTTGACTTCTTCGGTGATGTACGACATGGCTTTGTCGATGACATCGATGTACTCTGGATAATCGACGACGCAGGCTTCCCGGATCAGACGCAGCTTCTCCCAGTCTTGCCGCACTGCTGGCCCTGTGAGGTCAGGGTGCCAGCCCATGCTCTTGAGATCGGATCGGATTCCCCGGTCAACCTGCTCCTTGACGCCCATGAGATCAATGAGCGCATCGACTTCGGTGCGGACAACCTTGACGTACTCGCTGAAGCGCGTGGTGTCCTTGACGGTCCAATGCGAGGTGGTCATGCTCAGGTTGCGCTTTAGAGTCGCCCGCGCGCCCGTCTGTGCGAGGAGATCCTTGAGGAGGGCAAACTTCTCGCGGAAGCCTTCCAGTCGGTTGGTGTCGAGTGCTGGGTATTCCAGGCGCGAGAACGTCTTTGGACTCTTCAGGCCGTATACGTTCATCAGTTCATCGCGCGACATAGTGCTAGGGCGGCCGGCGATCTCATGCAGGGCCCTGCGCACCTTTGCATTGATAACCTCGTCGTCAAGCCTCGGGTCTCGGACGCCAAAGTTGACTGGCAGATGCGGATCCGGGTTCGTGATGCCCGGATGGCTAGGGATCATGTGTCGAGCAATCGTCGCGGGCGGCGCAGAGATGCCCACGGCATCGCCAAAGATCAGCAACCTGCCCTGCTGAAGGCCGAGCTTGGCAAGCGCAACCTTCTGCGCATGGTCGTGGTCCTTGGAAGGATGGATGAGGTTGAAAGCTTCAACACAAGTGCTGAACTGGGTCGCGAGAGAGAAGACGTCGGTGAGGACCTGCGCCTTGGTCTTGGCTCCGACAGGCTCGGTTGATTCGACAAAGTCGGTGGTACTCTTGGTCGTCATGTCGGCGGGGCTCGTCGCGGCTTCAGCTCGAGAGATGTCGATGGCAGAGCACAGAAGCGCGCGCGCCAGCTGGAGGAAAATCAGGATACATCACGGATGCGGTCAAGTCGATATTCACTGCATGTGCGCATGACGTCTGGGGGAGAGACCAATATCAGCTGTGGCGCAGAGGAAGCGGGGCACCGATCGGCAAGCCTCTGTCCTGTCTTGGCTTTCGCTGCACGCTCTTCATTCGCGAACACGCCCGCTGTCCGCAACCAAGCATTGCGACAGTCCATGCCACGCCTTTGCCTGCTGCACTCGTGTGTCTTCGACGCCACACGCTGCCAGGGCTAGATAAATGCCGCACTGCTCGGCCTCTCTTTGTTGGGAGTCAACGTGCGACCGCAGATTCGGCTGCCAAATTTTCACTCTTCTGCTGCGGCTCGCGATCTAGATCGTGCAGCCATCTTGGGTGCTTATCTGGTTCTCTGCGGCAACACGACGCGGAAACTGTTGCTTGCTGGCGCGCGAAGTGTCTGGGATCTAGTGTGCGTTGCATTGCATCTGCTATCTAGCTCTCTAGGTTTCTGGGAGGGCCAGGAAGACGTCGTAACACTACCAAGGCCGCGCGGGCTGTCCAGTCGTACCTGACCTCATCCTCCTTTGTCGCCCCGACGGTAGGAAACGATCGCGACGCTCGGCAGCCATCTGCACCACCGTGTGCGTGGAAGACGCATGGAAACCAGCATCCGCGCCATGTTTCGTCAAGAGGCCATGTGAGTAGACCGGCTGTCAGTAGGCAAGCGGTTGCTGAATTGGCCATTGAAAATCGCGCGTCGCTTTCGCTAGCGGCCGTCTAGATAGGACCGAAAACGCACACACACTAAGTTGTCTCCATTGGGAGAGCTGACGATCAGGCTGCGCACATCGGCGAAAACGCTCAGCCTGTCTGTTTGACGGCATTTGCAGTATCTGATGAAGAGCCAGCTCTAACACAGCCGCGCTGGGCGCGAACAAGTAGCGTGGTCATCTCAAACATGGTAGAATGGGCTCTTCCCCCCCGGCTTCTCTTCATTGACGCTCACCGCCGTATTCGTATCGCCGTCTTGGTCGCACGACCTTGTGTCCGTCTCTTGCTTTTGTAGCTCGTTGCGCTCAATACTGAACTCGTTCGTGACAAATATACCACTGCCCCGGCGATCAAGCTCGCCCAGCCTACTCGCTGGCAGTGCATCATCTTCGCTCTCTCGCTCAGAGGCACTTTTGCCAGACACGTTGCTCTTGTTGCCGGTTCCAGCCGGCCCATGGTTGCTCTTCCAGCCCATGGGATACGATTGACGCTTCGTAGTGTTCTTGGTCCCTATGCCCGAGCCGAAAAGTGGCCCGAAAAAGCGAACGAATGGAGCGCGCAGCATAGGAAGGCAAGCACATACGATACCCGCATTTGCTTCTATCACCGACCATATTGTCGCGGGTACGGGACCCCAGGTTGGATCGGGGTTGTTTGCGGATCGTGCGATTGTGGTGGCACGATATATAGACGCGAAAGTGACACTAGCAGGTTAGCAATGGGCCTTTGACGGAACTCTCAGACACGTACAAGCCTCCAGTGCCAAACACAAGCGCCACGCCCAGCTTTTCAGCCCGTCCCATAGAAAGACTCAAGATCTGCCGAAAAGGCATCGCAAGCAGCATAAAGTCGGTCGTGATTTGAACCGTCGCATAGGAGATCCACCAGGGTTCATTCTTAAAACACCGGGCACCGGGTATGGTCCTGTCCCAGAAGGCCGCGATTGGTGTGCATTGGAACACGGTCGCGATAGTGAATGCGAAGCCGGTGATGATGATCCAAGCGTCTACACCAAAGTCAGTCGATGAACTGGTGTCATGTCAGAGCACTTACTCATGATGTGACAAGCAATACGGAACGACTTGGTGGTTATGGCGAAGATTCGGTAGTAAAGACAAACTACAGAGATCTTGTTGAACATCAGAACGACTTTGTAGACGACTGCAACGGTCAGTAAGCTTCGTAGTGACACTCTGCACCATCTTCACTAAATGTCCTTTCGTAGCCATTCAGGCCGGGCTCCTGGAGCACTCCATGCTGTCCAGAAGGATTGTACGGTCGTTGAGAATCTACTTACTGTTTGCTCCGTAGAACCATTGGCGAGCGATGATGCGGGAATCGGCGGGTAAGGATTTCCATGGTCTTCCGTAGCCATAGACTACCGCTGTTCGAATTTAACGAGTGTCCCTTGAGGTGATGCGAGTCCACTAACCTTGACACTCTGTTACAGAGAGCACGACCGATGATATCAAGGCAGCGACGATCATGTAGTCGTCCATTCCTAGACCACTTCGCTTGGTCAATCGCTGTGCAAGGCGTCCGGCGACAAAGAGACCCGCGACAATGACGGCTAAGACGCTGGTGAGCCAGAGGCCCCATCCACGCTCAACTGAGCCTTGAGTTCCAAGGCCGACGTTGGGAGCCATGTCGCATGAGGGTACACTCAAGTTTTGGAGAGCAAGTCCTGTGGATGACCCACGAACAGCGGGAGCCTACGGTATAATCATTAATGGGCCTCGTGCAGCATGGGACTTTCCAGGTACCCGGCCCTGAAGATACGGCGATGCAGGGTATAGGGTGTGCAGCGGCTGATGACCCTTCCGTGGGGGCATCACGGGAATGCTTTGACGGCGAATTTCTCTGCATTCGTATCCGACGCGATTGGATCTGGTGTACCAATCTTCGGGGACCACACATGTCGATCTCTACAATGCCGTGCGCGCTCAGGGTTTTCCCTGCTACGGTCCAGGCGTTTGCCGTGAATGCCAGGGCTGACTGCCAATCGGCTCGGTGCAGTGTACTGAACAGGTATGGGTGGGTGACATCAGATGGCGATCAGCGGTGCCCGGAATTGTGCCGGATGTAGGCAAATCGCACTCATCGCCTACGCCCGTCAGGTTTGGGTCTTGAGTTGTATTGAAAAAGCAAAGGCTTGAGCGGAACGAACAGCATCAATATCCCAAGTGTTCGGGGTCGTATGTCACGACGATGGAGAGGTCCGCCAGATCGAAAGGTTCCGGGCGACTGGGAGACGGGTAGCGCATTGGGACTAGTGTTGTCCTTGCTAGGGCTGCAGCCGAGATGAAGCCTCGTGCGTACCCGTCCTGTCTGACAACGTCGAAGCTTTTGACGCCGGCGTAAGACCGCGCGCACTCGGCATGAGTCCTTCGCAACACTGCCATCTGCCTCGGGACTTTGCCTGGTCGGAGCTTTGTCTGGTTGCAGCCCTGTTGTCCCATCGTCGACGGCTGGCCACGCAGGAACGTGGAGCTAACAGCTTGCCACCGAGCCGTGATTTACATCTCGCTCCAATAAAGTCAGCTGGCCGCCCTCCAGCTGTTTGAAGTTATTCCGTCGAGCGCATGGTAGTTGCTGTTTCGAATTGAAATTATGCAACACCTCCTCCTTACCGCTGCAGCTGTAGCTTCGCTATTCGGTTCGGCCGTCGCAGCGCCGAAGAATGGCTCCAACATCGAGACGTCGAGCGGTACCTTGATCGGTCACCCATCGTCTAACAAGACACGTGTGACTGAATTCTTGGGCATTCGATATGCAGAAGCGCCAGTCGGCGAACTGAGATTTGCTGCGCCGAAGAAGTTCGACGCGCCCAAAGGAACCGTTTTCGAGGCATCCGAGTGGGTCAGTAATCACGACATCACTGGGTAGTGCTCAATCACTGACAGACTGTAGTCTCCGTATGTTGAGAGTTCGAACATGTAGGATACGTCTAATGACTTTACAGTGACTGCCCTGCTGTTAAGCCGCCAGTATCAGCTTTCCCCAACTTCACACAGCCATCCGGCTTGCGTGTGTGGAAGAACTTCGCAGCTCAGAACAACAATTCGGTGTCCGAGGACTGCTTGAAGCTCAATGTCTGGACGGCGAGTGCTGGTGATGCCGATGCAAAGAAACCAGTGCTGGTGTTTCTTCACGGAGGACGTACGTGGTCCCTTCGGCTGTCATGGATGACTTCTAACAGCCACGCTAGGTTTCCAGATCCCCGGCCCTCACTCTCCCTTCTACAACGGGCAGTATCTGGCCGACGCTGAGGATGTCGTCGTTGTGACATTCAAGTAAGACACCCGCTGTGGTCGACCCTACACCTACTGACTGGGTCAGTTACCGATTGGGCATCTTCGGCTTCGCTGGTGCTCCTGGTGTTGAGAAGAACGCGGCCCTGCGCGACCACCGTAGCGCTGTCGAATGGGTGCGCGATAACATCGCTGGCTTTGGAGGCGACCCTTCGCGCATCGTCATCTTTGGACAAAGTGCAGGTGGCGCCGCTGTCGACTACTGGGCATACGCCTGGAAGAACGACCCGATTGTGTCGGGTCTCATCCCCATGTCTGGAACCTCACTGAGCTTCGTTCCCAACACAGTCGAGTACTCGCAGTCTATCTGGTACAATGTATCCCAGACCATCGGTTGTGGGGGTGCTGCCAATGACTCTGCCGCTGTCGTATCTTGCGTACGTTCTGCAAACATGTCTGCTCTTCTGGCTGCCTCGGCAAAGGTTCCTGGTCTTCCCAGCGTCGGTCTGACTCAAGCGACCTTCCATCCAACCGTCGACAACATGACGGTTTTTGCGGATTATCAGCAACTCTCAGCGGACGGTTCCTTCGCCAAGATTCCGCTTTTGGTCGGCAATGCTGACCACGAAGACGGCTGGTATCGCATTTCAGGGTGGGCGGCCAAGCTGAACTTTACCAATGCGCAATGGGATCTGTTCACCCAGCGTGGCTTCACATGCCCATCCTCCTTGTCCGCTGCATACAGGGCGCAGTACGACGTACCGACCTGGCGATACAGATACCACGGAGATTGGGACAACCTTCGCCTCTACAACGGCAGCGCAGGCCTCGGACCTCGAGGAAGCGCGGCCTACCACGGCTCTGACCTAGGCCTGGTCTTCGGTACCGCTCAAGACATCTCTGGCCTGCCCAATTCTCCTGCTGAGAACCAGTATATGAAGCATGTCCAGGGCGCCTGGGCTGCGTTTGCCCGTGATTCGCAGGAGGGGTTGACCAAGTACGGATGGCCGATGTACAACTCCGGTAAGCACTGGGAACACCCGAACGCCTGTTTCTACGCTAACACGTGCAAAGGCAATGCTACACTCGTCGAGCTGGCTTATAACAACGACCCTATGCCCAAGTTTGTCAATCCGACAATCTATGACGCATCTTGCCCCGCGGAAAACGATCCGCTGCCTGGACGAGGTGCTTTTTAAAGAAAGATGGTTACATTTGTATTAAGTAGACACCCTTACAGCATGTTATTCAGCAACACCTTTGTGACGTTTGTCATCGCTTTGTTCTAACTATCGTCGTCTGCGTTCATGCGATTCGCATCGCTGCATCCTCTCGTAATTGGTCGCATAAGATCACAAATCCAAATCTTGGATGACTCGCCGTTGAACCCGGCGTTGAGTCTGTGTCAGAAGAGGTTGTGTTCCCGGCACTTGGGTCCCCAGGACCTGCCTCGTTCGGATGGCGTTAACGTTTATGGTTACGGCCCGATGCGCTGACGCCAACCAACGAACTTTGTCGTGAGCCAGGACTGCGCCAACCGACTGTTTGTAAGAACGCCGACGAAGGACAACCCACCGCAACGGTTATATCAGATCGATATCCCGGTCATTCGATTGGACTGCCGAGGTGATTGTGACAGCGGCTGCATCTGCGATGGTAGGAGCACGTGGATGTAGCGCACCTAGCTGCACCGGAGACATCCCCCCGAATGAATTCATCGCGTATCGCGACCTGATCACGACTTCTGCATTGACGCGATGTAGCCAGGTTTGCCGTTCGATAGTTCCGTCGAGTAGGCTTGAGGCTCGTCGGCTGCGCGCATGCAACCGCCGTTCTTCAAGAGCCAGAACGCAGACGAACTCTTCTGACCCGCCTCCTCCACTTGGATAGCTGCTTGACTCGCAATTCCATCGCACTAATTTGAGACTGTAGCAGCGGACGCCTGAGCAGATCGAGATCCTATACGACGACCCGTGTCACAAGATGTCCAGTCACGTTGATATCATCATGAAAGGCGAACAGACTGCAGAGACGGGAGACAACAAGGATTATCCCCCGTCTTGGCAATATATACATGTCCCAATAAGGCGCTGGGATGTCAGAGTACAGGTACCGAGACTAGAATGCCATGCCGCGTCCATGCTAACCCACCACAGCAAAGTTAGTGCGGGACCCTTGCGATTGCGGCGTGATGTGTGCATAGAACACGGGCTGGCACCCCGCGCCTTGGGTCTATACTTCTAGGACGACTACTCTGGTAGTTGTCAGGTACTAAAGCCAACGGCTTTCCGGCTGGAAGGTAGTCTGCCCTGCATTTGAACAGTACGCGAAACGGACCGTCTTTACAACCGCGAGGATGAGTTCACTGGGTGCCTGGCAGTTCACGCCACTCATGACCGAGTTTCCTACCAATGTGTTGCCCAACCTAGGGTTCTGGAGTGCGAAGAACGGATCTTGGGAATACCAGATTCAGCTGGCATGGCCGCTGAACTGGACCTCACAGGAGGAGACGTCGACTGTGGAGACAATGTAAGGACACAGGCAGCGACAGCGGCGCCACGGGGATTCGGACTGACACGGCTACTAGGTATGTCCTGGACGGCAATGCTCTGGGTATGACTGCCACAGAAGCCTTCCGCCGCCGCCGTCCCGTCGAGTTCAACATGCCCGACTGCATTGTCGTCAGCATAGGCTACCCGGAGACCATCGAAGATTCACCATACAGCACGCAGCGGAGCTACGACTTCCAGCCTCCAGTCTGCGATGACTGCCCCTTACCTGCGGTGCCTGGCGTGCAGTCCAATGCGGATGAGTTCATCGAGTTCATCGACAACGCTCTCCGGCCATGGGTTCAGGAGACGGCTTTCCCGAAAGCTGAGTTTGACCGCGACGCACTCTACGGCCACTCCTTTGGCGGCCTCTTCGTCCTGTATGCGCTCACGGTACGGCCTGATCTCTTCGATACGTTCCTCAGTGCTTCTCCGGCCCTCTTCTTCAACGACGACTACGTCTTCAACAACACGGACTTCCTCGCACCGCTGGCGTCGCCTTCGGCCAGCGACACGGCCAACGCGACCAAGCCTGCTTTCCAGATAAGCTACGGCGCGCTCGAACAGAAGCTGGTGAAGCGACGGACGGAGACGGACGCGGAGTTTGCGTTCAGGCAGAGCATCCTCGTGCCGCAGCGCATGACGGATCTGAGCCAGAAGCTGTACAGCAGGCTGGAGGGCAGCCCGGCGTTGAGGGATGTCAGCATCCACGAGTACCCGTTCAGTGACCACGCGGCAGTAGGCGCGGCAGCTCTGGCGGACGGCATCGACTACTTCCTGGACTGGTGAGTGAGTGCGAGGTTGTGGGAGAGCAAGGGGATGTCAACGTGTCCATGTACCTAAGTTCCGCGTTAGCCGGGCGCAACGGGGCAGTAGCTTGACGAATGGATCCGGACTACCTGCCGCTTTGGCAGTATAGCGCAGTGCTTGACCGCCGTGTTCGAACACCTGGGGGAGGCGGCGGCGGGCGTCACTGAGTGGTGGAACGGCGCAGATTGCGCGACAGGTGTCTTGCCCACCGCACCCACCGCGGTGCGCATGGGGTGCGATAAGTGATGGCGGCGGCGGGCGGCATTGGCTGCCAGGGCGGGGCGGTGGGTCCGGCCGCCAGCAGGAGGCTCAACGGACGGGTTTGATCAGCGCGGGCTGCAGAAAAGATTTCGCCTAGGGAACCCCGGCGCTACGTCATCTTGAGGGAGACGACGGGTCCGGTGAGAGGGAGCACCGCACGTAGAAATAGCATCGCGGACGCTCCCCAGCACGCCGACGACGACGACGCCGACGACGCCGACACACACGATGCAGCGCGCCAACACGACCGAGAGCCTGCGCACGCCCGGCGCCGCCATCTCGACGCTCAACCTCAACAAGCCCCCGCGGCCGGGCATGGAGCGCGCGCCCACGTCGACCAACCTGACGCGCCCGCTGCCCATCCAGCGCCTCGAGGGCAAGGTCGTCATGATCACGGGCGGCGGCGGCAAGGTGGGCGTCGAGTCGGCCGGCCGCCTGCTCATCGAGGGCTGCAACGTCGCCCTCATCGACATCGACCAGACGGCCCTCGAGGTGGCCGTGCCCGTGCTCAAGGCCGCCATCCCCACGGGCATCCCCATCGAGTCGCGCCTGCTGACCATCGTCGCCGACGCCACCAAGGAGCCCGACGTCGAGGCCTGCGCCAAGAAGGTCGTCCAGCGCTTCGAGAGGCTCGACGCCGCCCTGCTCAACTGCTGCCACCGCGGCGAGTCCAAGAGCATCTTCGACGTGACCGAGGACGACTTTGACCGCATCATGACCATCAACGCCAAGTCCGGTACGCCCACGTGACCACACGTGACCCCACCACGTGACCCGCTGACCACTGCCAGCTTTCCTCGGCGTTAAGTACGCCGCCACCGCCATGCAGACGACGGCCGCCGGCGGCTCCATCATCATCCGCTCCTCCATCGCCGGCCTGCGCGGCTTCCCCAACCTCATCTCGTACAGCGCCAGCAAGTTCGCCCTGCGCGGCATTGCCCTCACCGCTGCCGAGGAGCTCGGCCCCCTCAACATCCGCGTCAACACCATCCACACCAGCATCATCCAGACCCCCGGCTACAAGGACGGCTGGAGCAAGGAGAAGCTGGCCGAGCTCAAGGAGGAGACTGCCCTCGACCGCTTCAGCAGCCCCGACGACGTGGCCAGCGTCGTCGCTTTCCTCGTCAGCGAAGACAGCAAGTTCATGACCGGCGGCCACCTGAAGATTGACGGCGGCTGTGTCGCTGTCTAGACGTCCCACGTAGCCTTGCTTGTTGTACTGCCATGGTCGTCATTTGCATGGATGGAGTTTGGGATGCCCGCCTTTCTTCACAGGCCGAGGCTGCATGTTTTGCGCAGGCTGCCATCACGGAGCCGACACATAGAGGCACTTTATTAGACGGGTAGAAATGCATCACCACACGGACCTGTGTCCGCAAGTACTCCATCTGTCAGCATGCTTAGGCATACCTAGGTGCTTTGCCATGACAGCGCGTGACGTCACTGCGTCGTTTCCGAAAGTATCCGCGAAGCTGCCATGGTGTGACGTGCATTAGCCATACGCCATCCCTCGGAAGGTTTCTTCGCGACTTTCAACTTCAATCCTCACTTCAACCCGTTAGAGACCCAAAGCCACCATGTCCGAACCTACAGCGACCCAACACCATCCCAAGTTCCAAACTCGCAAGCCAGAGCAAGATGCCGTCGACTACGAAATGCAGACATATACGCGCGGACTGGACTTTGAACGCCCACCGCTCACCTTCCAGGCTGACAAATGGGAAGAGCTGGCCTGCAGTCGCATGTCAGCCGACTCAAAAGGCTACGTATACGGATCCGCCGGCGTACGGGAGACCACAGACAAGAACCGCAGTGCCTTTAGAAGATTTTCGATTGTACCCAACCGCCTAGTCAGGTACGACGGCTTCCCTGACCTGACATCCGAAATCTTTGGGCAGAAGATGGTAGCACCCATCGCCATGGCGCCTGTCGGTGTACTCAAAATCTTCAACCCAGAAGGCGAGGTCGCGGCTGCAAAAGCAGCAGCCAAAGAAGCCATCCCGTACATCCTAAGTACGGCAAGTAGTACGAGTATAGAAGATACTGCCGCAGCCAACGGCCCCAACAGTCAACGCTGGTACCAACTCTACTGGCCGTCACGCGAACACGACGACATCACCATTTCGCTACTTGAACGCGCAAAGAACGCCGGCTTTACAGCTCTGTTTGTAACTCTAGATACGTACATCCTCGGGTGGAGACCCGAAGACATGGACAACGGGTACAACCCCTTCATGCGCGCCGACCGCACAGGCGTAGAACTTGGCATGACGGATCCTGTGTTCCGGAAACAGTTCAAAGCGAGACATGGCGTGGATGTAGAACGAAAGATGGAGGCTGCGGCGCCAGAATGGATGAGGACGATCTTCCCGGGCGAGAGCCATAGTTGGGAGGATGTCGAGTTTCTCCAGAAACACTGGCATGGGCCGATTGTGCTCAAGGGCATTCAGAGCTTGGCTGATGCGAGGAAGGCGGTGGAAATTGGCGTGCAGGGCGTCGTTGTGAGTAACCATGGAGGCAGGCAGCTCGATGGAGGGAACTCGTCGTTGGGCGTGCTGCCACATATTGTTGATGCCGTTGGGGATAGGTTGACCATTTTCTTCGACAGTGGGATACAATCGGGTGCTGACATTGCCAAGGCCATGGCGCTAGGAGCCGACTGCGTGCTGATTGGTAGGCCGTATGTGTATGGTCTGGCGCTTGGAGGAGAGAAAGGCGTGGAGCATGTGCTCAAGAGTCTGGTGGGTGAGCTCGAGTTGACATTGCATTTGAGCGGCATCCCGAGCGTGCAAAAGAAGGATTTGAATCGCGCCGTGCTCGTTAGAGAGGAGGCGCTTTTCGAAAGTGTGAAGGGGGTGGGATTGCGTTAGGGGAGATATTGCAATCTATATGGATCTTCATCTAATCACATGTAAACGTGTCGACACTCTTTTTAGCCTCACTCTTCCCTTTCGCCAGCCACCTCCCGTGACCAACCGCAGTAAGCGCTACACATTCTTCGATGTACGAGCACTTATAAGCAGCAGCTCCATTCGGCGACATCTTGGTATCAGAATAGTGTAACCGTTCTGAACTTACCCTCTTCTCACCTTCACTTCGATCAAGACTTGCGTGGGTATCTAGACTTCCCGACGTTACCTTAACTTTGTCCATCTCCTGCAAATCACCAACACAATCTCCTCTTCATCTTGCAAACAGGGTTGTACTTGAGCGGATGAAGCGGGCTCTGGAACTGCAGTTTGGTGGATTCTTTGGAGGCGAGTGAGATGGTGGTAGAGACGCATGTAGGAATGAGCACGTTGGAGATTGGATTTGGTGACGCCGCGGACCAAAAGTGTGAGACCCCTTTTCTTTCCGATGGTAACGACTTCCTTACTTTTACCATGACGGGTGGTCGTGAGCTACATGCAGGGCATGACCGGGAACTTGTACCTTTAACTTTCTTCTTCCGGGTCAATGAGGATACGTATCCGCCAACTCCATTCGCTCCAAGGTACTTTTTCGGCTAACCATTACTGCCGCAAAATACTCTCGTTACCCTTGAACTACGAGTGTCAATGTCACTCCCCTGTGATAAATGATCTGAGTTTTGCAAGGCTCAATGCTATACGGATATATCAAGCATCACCAACTACGCATGCCGAATCTACAGACGCCAATCCAGAAAAGGCCTTTTATTGGACGACAGATCACACCCTCATCATCATCCGTACCGTAGGAATAAAGTCTTGACTATCCTTCTCTTGCTGTTCGAAGCTCTGTTTAAAGGCTGCCAACCCCGCAAGGATTCCGCATACCATAAACACCAACGACACAAGCGACCAAATAACACCCCAGCATTGCGACGAACCGCCATACCGCTTAGCGAAGACGCTGGCATCAGACGAGTTGACCTTACGGAGAATGAGGTCGTCACAGATATCCCAGACGCTGTAGAGAGAAGACATGACGCCGATGAAAAGCTGGAGCGGCGTTAGCAAGGACGTTTCGAGGGGACAGGGAAAGACACCTACGACCATGAACCTCAACGCCTCGCCATGTTCGATGAACCAGAAGGCTACCAGTAGCCCTACGCTGAGAAGAATTGTGACGATAGTCAACCAGTCTTTTCTCGCCCACCATAGTGTCAGCAAGAAGCAAACGCCTAGCACTATACTCGCTACTTTGGATGCCACGATGTTGAAGCCACAAAAGGTCAGCAGAGCACCTATCAATGAGGAGCCCAAGTAGCCAGCAGGCAGAGTTATGAATTGCTTGCCGCCGCGCATATGCGTTACACCGCCTTCATGGGGATCAAGGGAGATGGACTCCACTCGCCCGCCGGTACAGCAGGATGTTATTGCATGAGAGAATTCATGAAAGGCTATGACGAGCATCTGTGGGTTTCGTCAGCTATCAACATCTCCCATTGCCCCACGCTACCTACATACCTTGAACGGCCACAACACCCACCGTACATAGGGCAAGTTCCACAACAACGCAATAACGACAACATACGCAGCAATAACACCCAGCGTAACCCCTTGGGTGTGATTTACACTCAACCCGCGGCGCTCAAAGTGATGCGAAGCCTGCGAGGCGACAGCCGGCCCCGCTGTGACCAGGGTCCGGCGCGCTAATTTGGCGAGCGTGCTGGTGTTGCGAGGCGACGCTGCTGGCGGCATGGCGGTGTAGTTGTACGTCTCTGTGGTATGAAGTGTTTGAGCGTGGGCAGAGCGGAAGCCTGGGTACTGAGTAGCCAAAGTACAGAGGAATGAAGATGCTGTTCTTGTTGTTCTGGTGAGTGAAAGCGGAGAGTGGCTGGGGAGAAGACGTGGAGCTGACGCGTTGTTTGTGGAATGCGCCACGCAGCACGCTAAATTTAGCAGGGATGTGGCTGTGTCGGCATTTTGTCATCAGGTACACGGAACAGGAGACAAAGCAGACTTGGACACTGGAAACAGTAGATGATATTGTATTGAATGGGATAGTCTGTGTATTATGTATACCGCTTGGTAGAGTGCGGCGTCATGCTGAAAGGAAGCGGTTCACTGAGCTGTGCGAATGCATCTTCGTCCCAAATACCAGGATATGAACTGAGTATGCATCGAGAGAAACCCTAACCTCGGCGCTCCTCGTCAATGTGTTCCTGATGCACTGACATGCCCCTCTCGGGCGAAGTATCGACATCTTTGTCGCCATACTTCTCAGATCCAACAGCACCAGTAGCGCCGACAGCGCTGTGGCGTCGCTCCCAGTATGAGTCGTCGCGTTCGTTACGGCTGATGTATCCAGCCGGGACCCACTTCTTACTGGTCCTGGCAGATAGGCTCGGGTCTGAGTACATGATATCGACGTTCTCAAGAGACAACGATTTGGTCTCGAAGACGAAGAAGTAAACGACACCGGCGGCGACGAAGTTGCAGGCGAAGAAAACGAAACCGAAGGCGTATCCGATGCCGTCGTCAGCGTAAGGTGTGAGGAAACCGATCAGGAAGTTGCCTAAGAATGGTCGTTAGTAAGCGAAGTCGGCATAAGAAAGCATGTTGCTTACCGAGCCAGTTGAACGCTGTAGCCAAAGAGGCTTGCTTCGCGCGAGTTCTGAGCGGGAAAGTTTCGCCAATGATTACCCAAATGAAAGGACCCCAGGTGGCGGCGAAGCTTGCAATGAACATGCAAGCAGCGACGATCATGACGATACCGGCAGTGGGGTTGTCTTGCGGTGGGAGCGCAACACCGATGATGGCAAAGATGAGCAGCCAAGTAGCTTGCCAGAGACCGCCAATGACGAGCGGCACACGGCGACCGACTCGCTCAATGAGGTACAACCCGGGGATCGTCATGGCCACGTTGACAGCACCAAGAATAAGTTGAACTTGGAGAGGATCATCAATGCCTGCGGATTGGAAGATAGTCGCGCCATACTGTGACGATTAGCGGCGTGCATGTGAGGTCGTTATTCGAGGGAACTTACGTAGAAGAAGTAGTTGACACCAGTCCACTGCTGGAAGAATTGGATAGCACATCCGACGAGGGTACGGTATGCAAGACGCGGGATACCGGATGGCTGGCCAGTGAAGCATTCCACCCAAGTACCTTGCCCGGCGCTCTTTTGCTCGTTGATGGAATCCTCCATCTCCTTGAAGTCCGAGTTGACCAACTCGTGGTTGGGGTCGTGTGCCAAGCCTCGGAGACGAGCCATTGACATGCGCGCTTCTTCCCAACGGCCTTTACCGGCCAACCATCTGGGCGATTCTGGCGTGAAGAGTACACCGAAGCCAAGAGGGAGCGAGAAGCCGATTCCGAGGCCAATGACGATTCTCCAGGCGGCATCGCTGTCTTGGCCCGGATTGTCACGGACACCAAAGTTGATAATGTTGGAAACTGCATATAGTAAGTACTTTGTAAGCACACATCTGGGCCAGACCTACTCAGGATGCCAACAGTGATCATAAGCTGGTAAGATGCGACGACGGCACCACGAATCTCTCGTGGGCAGACCTCGGACTGGTACATCGGTACACCAATAGAGAGAATACCGACACCGAGACCAGCAACGATACGACCAATAGTCATGTGGACCCAGGTGTTCATCGCTGTGACCTGGATGATGTTGCCAATGACGAATATGAGCACACCGATGGAGAGATTGCGGCGACGACCAAACCAGTCGGCAGTGTAAGCACCAGCGAGCGCGCCGATGAGAGTACCAATGGACATGAGGGATACAAGCAGGGACGAAATCGTGGGATCGAATGCTTTCTCGCCATTGCCCTGGTCCTGTCCAAAACGCTGGATGAAGTCCTTGAAGATGAGGATTCCACTGATTTGACCCTGCATTACGTGAGCCACACGCATTCACAGGCAGAGATTGGCAGATGCATACCGTGTCGTAACCGAAGAGGAAACCACCTATCGATGTGATGACACCAAGAATGATGGCTTCGATACCGCACTCGGCACCGCGAACGCGGACAGAACTATTCAGAGTCAATATAGCATTCATGCATAGTCGAACGGCGTCAAACGTACACTTTGCCCAGACCCATGGTTGTAGTAACGATTCGATCACGACAAGACCGATGTGCGAGACAAGATGGATTTACTTGTTCGGCACACGACGAATCTTAAGTATCGATGCCAATTCCAGTCCCGTGTCCCGTAATGCGGTAATGCCCAGCATCGCGCCGAGCGTTCGACTCCGGGGCTCCTACGTCATACGCGCCACGCCGTCACGCGAAATTGCGCGCGAGCGGCCTTACCAGCTTGGCTTCACCTCCTCCACAGCCAAACAAAAGTGATCCGGGGGTCTGAAACTGCAGTAGTGGGCTTGTCAATGCGACGCAGCCGCTGGGGGACAAGGGGCGTGTATGTGGGGAAGCAGGTCGCGATTCGATAGCCAAGCCAAATCCGCCCGACGTTCCGGGAAGCCCACCAAGAGATAGACGGCCTCGAGCACACATGGATCGGATCGTGCTCTCACATGCTCATCTGACGGTAGGCGTTGTACAAGGCGTCCTGCTAGATCCCTAACGTGCAAAGTGAACGCCTCTGATGCGCACCCCGCATTCAGGCGCAAAGCACTCAGCGACGCGCTCCAGGGACCGTTGTGCCGCACAGCCGGCGCCAGAAACTTGGTGACGGTCGCGTGACTTGTGGATATCGACTCGACGACGCGTATTCTTCGGCCGGGGCCATGTCGGTGAAGATACTTCACTTCAAGATGCGACAGACGCTCTCGGCAGTGGGGATGATGGAGATGCGTACGACCCCATCCGGGCCTGTGCAGCCTCAACACCTGTGCTCCGACCATCCCTCCGACTCTTTGAACAATTGCCGCGCGAACCGGCACAAGCTTTGTCGCTGTGCTTGTTTTGGACTGCAATCTCCGATCGCTTGCAGTCTCTCTCCGGTCAAGTAAAGCGAGGGACCCAGTTTGGATGCAACGTAAGCCAGGTTGCGGCGACGGATTGGTGCGAGAGCGGCCCACATGAGGCTCAAGGAAGACACTAAGAACCTTCCATTACCTTGGCATGTCCGACCCGCATCGGACGAGAAAGTGAGGCCGTAATCTCGGCAGTTCCCACGTCGTGGAGTGGATGTGAAGGCTTTGAGGGGCAGCCTGCGTGTTGGGGAGAAGAAGGGGTGTGGAGGTTGCGGAGACTGGAGAAACCTCTCCTCGGTAGTAAGCACTGGGGACGAAATGGAGAAGGAACAACACAAGCACCAACAACAGCAACCTTCTTGCGCAACTCTCCCTACAACATGACTTGTGTCTAGGTAATTTACACGACAACTGACTCTCACGGCTTCTTGCTCTGTGCGGTTTAGCGCATCCGGTGGGATGTACATAGTAATCCTGTCACCGCAGAAGGGAAGAGACACTGCGCCGGCAACGCGCCGATGCCAGGTACGATCTGAAACGTCGTCATTCCCGCATCTTTCGATGTATCGATGTCTGAGTGAACAAAAACAATGCCCTTCAACGCGGTCTGCCAAGTCACGTGCGGCGTTCCTTGGTCCTTCTAGGCACCGTTGGAACGCGATGGTGATGTCATCATGTCGCGATACTCAGGAGCCAACTGAGAATGCTGCATCAACCCAGAACCCCTAACAAGAACACTCGGGAAGACATTGCGGAGTACACCAAACTCAAATTTCCTATAGACAACCTCCGGACTCACAAGTAGATCACAAAATGGTCAAAGACAACGAAACCGTGATTGAGTAAGTGGCCCATGAACGTCAACGCAAGCAAAGTGCTTACGGCATCGCAAGGGAGTTCAACGAGCTGGTCAACATGTCGGCAGACGAACTACAAGACTGGCTTGGCAGCGATGAATCCGCTGGAGCCGGCTGGTAAGCCCTGCCTGCAACGAATGCAGTGCTGACGTTGCGAATCTTATGACATGCATGCCCTCTAAGACGCCTACAGGTCCAAAGACAACGGCTCCGGCGAGACAGTCGGCCACGATTCGGGTCGTAAAATCGTTGCTATACTGCAGAATAATCCGCAGAAGGACGCGGACAAGTATGAACAAGAAGACATTGACCACATGCGCAAGGTGGTAGCATACTGCAAGAGGCATCTTGCGCAAGAGGACAAGGCGAAGAAGGACACGGATAGCAAGAGCTACAAGAGCTTGAAAAACTGGGGTCACGACGCCCAGAAGGCTTGAGCATTTGCATGAATGGGAATGATGCTGGAAGAGGTGTGAACTCGACACAGGCGGAACAAGTAGCGATTTGCATGTATCGAGGTCAAACCACAGGCTTCCAATATTGTGACAACAATGACACGAACACATGTCACTTCGTCATTTTGTGCAGGAGACATGGATTTCAAGACGGCCGTATCAAAAGTGGAGTAAATTAGAAACAATGCTTGAAAGACATCTAGGTAGGAGCGGCGCACAGGACGAGTGTCTTGGTCTACAGAGCAGTCGACCTCTTGCGGCCAGCGAAGTAGTTTCCCTTTGATTCGTTAGTTCTCAGTTCGAGTAGTCGGATCGGTGATACTTACTTGCATGCCACCCACGCACGCTGGCTGCTCCATTTCCTCCGTCTTTGTTCTCTCAGGTGGGCTTCTGCGCATGAAGCACTCGCCTACATGATGGCCCTCATCGCACGCAACGACCCATTGGCCCATACCCATGTCCTTGGGAGCGTGCCTGACACCTCTTCCACCGCCACCTACAATCAGATTGCCTGGTCGGTAGGTTGGATCCGCGCGCATACGCTTAATCACGCTGCTGTGGATGACGGCATTCGCGGGTATGTCGCGCGTCTCACCCTTGGGCAAAGGCCATCGGATCGCTTTCCATGTCCCATCCTCCTGTAAGTCCATGCGTCGGAAAGGCAGGTACTCCATTATGTTCCAAGAAACGACGCCCATGCGATTGGCACCATTGTTGAATTGCAGGACGTCGTGGATGCGGCCTTTGGTCGCAGCGCTGTGGAAGTGTTTGTGGAAATGCGTGTTAGGGTGTTCGCGATGGTGCGAAAGGATGTTGTCGTCGTCAGTGTAGCCAGCTGTGTCGACGGATTGCGCGCCCGAATTGGCGATGACGGGTGAGGGCGACGCAGGATCGATTGCAATCATCGGGATGTTGTTCTGCGCTCGCGACACGTTGGTTGTGGGCTCCTCGTGGCAGCAACTCAGAGCTGCGAGCTTGTCTTCGTCAAAGTCGAGCCCAGCTTTTTGAGCTTCGCGCACCATCCACACCAGGGCTACGTGGCTCAGTGCTGCGTCGTCATCACCAAGAGGCCAGCCTCCTCCGATGTCCTACACGACGTTAGTATTGTAATTGAACCTCCGTGACGAGCACACTTACTGCATGGCATCCAGGAAACCAGACTTCCTGAATATCCTGCTCGCCATCTTCGTCTTGAGAGTTGAAAGTTCCCGCAGCGTCATAGGATCGCATTGAAGGAGTAGCAGAGCCGTGAACGCCATCAAGCTGGGAGCAGTCCGCGCTACGGCTGCGTACGCCTGAAGTCTCATGTGGGTCTCTGTAACGCTCAGGTGGTGGTGCTAATGTATCTCGCCGACCTCTACTCTGCTGTTCGTCGTGGTCTTTCTCGTCTAGGTCATGGTCTTCATGATCACCATGGATCAGATCCTTCATGTGCTGCCGGTGTCTGTGGCGATGCTTGTACAACATTGACCGGTCGGGCTTCTCTTGAGAGATGAGATCTTGTCTGAACTTTGCGCGTCGTTCATCGATGGATACTGCGTGTCGTATTACGTGGGCGCTGCTTCTTGCGGTGTAGGGGAATCTGCTACGTTGCATCCAGGCGTTCTCGAAAGCAGGCACGGAATTGACTGTATCGAAGAGGCCCAGAAACCGAATGGGTTTGACGGGGCGGCTGAACGTCTCGCGAAACGCGCACATGAATTCCAGAAGCTTTAGCTTCTCAGATTTCTCGCCTGGCTTGCGATCTTTGCCGCCTTTTTCGTCCGGTAATCTACATTGCCATTTCTGGAATGTTCTGAGATTGCGTTAGTGTAGAGTTCATGCATGCTACATGCTATACTCACTTCCATGCGAATTGACACATCTCTTCGTTTCCAGCCTGTCGACAATTAGAAATCGCCTGACAGATATTGGGCAGTTGCTTACAGAGAGGAGACCAACGTGATCAAGCATCTCTGCGAGGAAGCGAGCGGTATATGCACCACGCGAGAAGCCGAAGAAGAAGATATCATCGCCAGGTGTATAGTATCGCATTAGGAACTGTCCAGTCCATGTCAGCCAGCTGCGACCGGGTTCCGTCCTCTAGCCACTAAGCTGAGGATAGAGCTACCTCCTGGGATGGCTTACCTTGTATCCCGCCATGACATGCTGATCGAATGAAGTTCCTACGCCAGATCAGATCCCATGCATCACAACGAGCCGCGCCGAACGTACCTATTGCGCTATCTTTTGCCTTTGCGTACCATGACTGGAACTTTTCCCATCGACCTGTTCGGGTCATGGATCCATTAGCTTTCGTAACATATGTACCGATTCCGGGCTGGTAGTAATGGAACTGATCATCCCCATTGCGATCGAGCATGCGATAGATTTTGAGGATGTTGCTGTCGGAGTCTGTGCCTGAGAATTTGTTGCCTGTACCATCGAAGCACAGGACAAACTTCTTGGTCACATGGTTCGGACGTCGTGACACGGCTCCGTAATCCATAGGGTTGTTGTTAGGTGGTTGTGCGGATACCTGAGGCGAAACGCTCGGTAGACGTGACTGCTCTGAGTTCTTGCGCGCCATGTTGAGACGTGGGGCTTGAAGAGGAAGAGCACCTTGATAGGAAGCCAGCTTGGTCGTCAGAACGAAGCAGTCGCGAAGTGTCAAGTAGCCAAGTAATCTCTATCAACGCGGGGATCGGCTACAAAAGCCTAACACAACTGACGCGTGCTCCCCGTCTGGTCTGTCTCCAGAGCTTCCAAGCGTATCAAGCCACATTAAGATACTGATCGCCATTGCTAATGCGGCTTGTAACAAAGCTCGCCTATCGACGCGTCGATGTCGCAGGTGGTGGGCTGGGAGTAGT